GAAAATGATGCTGAAAGCTACAAAATGTAAACAGGCCTGAATCAGGGGGGAGAGGGTAGATCAAGTCTGTCCCACAACCAAAGCACAGAATTGACTCTAACCGTTGTTCTTCACATATATTGGTCTAATGGAGACTCCAGTCTCCCTAGAAACTATGCATCAGGACTTCAGTTTTTTACCTGTTTTAGTTTTATTTAATGACTAACCTAAAGCTACTGTGATGCAACTCAAACTGCAGCATGGGCAAGGAGAACAGACTTATTCTATGCTGTTTTCATTATTGTTGTGCATTTTTAGGTAATTGAGGATCTTTTGCACATGTTCTCACACCTCACTGGCAATGTTTTCTTTTCCTCTTTAGACCAGTTGGGCCAGATTCCATGAGTATTTCCCAATAAGTTACATTGTGTAGCCTGGTAATCATCTTGGTGCTGTGCTCGACTGAGCAGTTTTCCAGCTGAGCCATTTCCACAATGAGCGAGACTGCAGGAGTATTTCACACACCTAGCAGGCTTCATTTCTTTTTACACATCACAGGACAATAACCTTCTTTTCTTTCCTACAATAGCCAGACTCAGTTGACATATGATTCACTATAAATTCTGCATCTTTTCCCCAAAAGACTTGCTACCTAGCCAATCCTATGTATGCACATTTTCCTTCAGAAATACTTTGTACTTGTCCTCGCTGAACTCTATCCTAATTTTTAGCCAACTTTTTTCATTTTGCCAAGATCATTTTGGATTTTAATCCGGTCTTGCAGTGTGTCTGCAGTAACTCCCAGCTTCATGTCATCTGCAAACCTAGTAAGTGTGCTCTGCTCTGTGGTCCAGGTCACTAATGAATATGCTGAACAGAACTAGACTATATAGCTCCAGCAGAGCTCTGCTCAGACTGTCCTCCTGTCTTCACAGCATACCACTAATAACTACTCTCTGGGTATGGCTTTAAAGTAGTGTCATTTAATCATGTTTCCCTAGTTTGTTTATGAAAAAGTGGTATTAGATGATGTCAAAAGATATAATAAAGCCCAGATAAATGACATCTCACAGCTTGTCTGTTATAAGAAGAAATTAATTGAGTTTGAATTTTTTTCCCTGTCACTTCTGTGTCTGCTGCTACTTATATTTTCGTTATCTGTCAGGTACCTGCAAATTGTTTCTTTGATTATTTTAACTTCCACACTCCCACCTCCCCCCTGCTGATCTAGAAACATCCCGCTTGGATAGAGCACCGAGCCCCCACTGTAAAATGAGGAGAGAAAAGGATAGTGCACCTTTGTAGTGATAATGGGTCATAGTTTTACTTGTATGGATCCCTTGTGCAAAGCAGACAATTTTAACATAGCCTAAGCAAAAATCAAACAGATTTTGCCTCTTTTGCTGTCAGTTTTCAATGACTTTCCCTCTATTTGAGCAGTGCTTTTCCTGACTGCCGCATTAGTATTTATATATATATATATATAAAGGGTAATGAGAAATATTTTATATCTTCTGCAAGTTTCACTTCATTTTTGTGCTCTTATGCTTCTAATATTCTTGTCTGTGTATTCCTGGTTCTTTAACTCATGCTCAGTAACCTTTTGCTGTGCTTTTTTCTCATCTTTGAGATAAATGAAAAGCTCGTGATGTTCCAAGTCTTCTGAGCCTTCTCCTGCATTGAGATGTTTTTTGTGCTTGTCCCTTTTGAGAACAACATGTTGTTTCTTTGTGAAAATTCACTTCTTGATTTCTTTTTCCTTTCAACTTTACTTCATGAAATCCTCCCTGGCAGTTTTCTGTACATACTGAGGTCAGGCCTTTTTATTTTGCTGCTTCCAAACCTTTGCTTATGGCAAGGCAAAGATTCCATCATTAGCAGTCACTCCTATGTGACTTTCCTTCCACCTTCTTCACCTAGCGAATCTTTCTCTTTTGGGTACAGTCAGGTCTGTAAGCACTTTGCCAGTAGTGATTGACCCATCAGTTAAATGAGAATGTTGTTCCTAAGGCACAGGGACTGTCTTTCTTGAATTGCTTTCCTTTCCTGCAGATATCTGGTGTTCATACTCTGTCATTACCATCAAGTCAGTTGTTATCAAGCAGCCAGATCCATTTAGTCTTGTTGATTTGTGCCCTACCCATCCCTTCCATTCTTTCTCCTTTTTGTTTTTTTTCAGTTCTCTCTTGTTATTAACCAAGGATTTTAACAGATCTGCCTCTGTGCTCTGGACCTCAAAGCAAACATGCACATCAACCTTTTTTCGCTCTGCCAATCTTTTCTGAATAATATTTATATTCCAGTATTTTGTCTTACTCCAACAGCTGCCAGATTTTCCAATTAAAAAAAAAAAAACACAAGATTTTACTTATTAACCCTGAGTTCTCAATTAAGACCTAAGTCCTGTGTTAAAAGTAATATACTTTCCAGTCTTGCATTAGATGTCTAAGATATTCAGAAGATTGAATCCAATTTCCCAGTCCCCCTGTGCTGCTTCTAGAGCTGTGCCCAGACTGTTTCTGTATTTGTGCTTTCCTCCTGTCCTCTCTACATACTACTGTGATCTTAAACCTCTCCCTTAGCAATGGGTCAATTTCTTAGAATCACAGAATGGTTAAGGTTGGAAGGGAGCTCTAGAGATCATGTAATCCAACCCCTCTGCTCCAACAGGAACACCTAGAGCACGTGGCACAGGGTGGCATCCAGGCGGGTTTGGAAGATCTCCAGAGAAGGAGACTCCACAGCCTCTCTGGGCAGCCTGTTCCAAGGCTCTGTCACCCTCACAATAAAGAAGTTCTTCCTCACATGGAGGTGGAACTTCCTGTGTTTCAACTTGTACCCGTTGGCCCTTGTCCTGTCACTGGCCACCATGGAGAAGAGCCTGGCCCCATCCTCCCTACAATCACCCCTCAGGCACTTGAACACGTTCATCAAATCTCCTCTCAGCCTTCATTTCTCCAGACTAAGCAGGCCCAGCTTGCATAGTCTTCCCCATACGACCAGTGCCCCTTAATCATCTTTGTGGCTCTCCGCTGGACCCTCTCTAGAAGCAAAATGTCCTTCTTGTACTGCACCCAGAACTGCACCCAGTACTCCAGGTGCAGCCTCACCAGAGCTGAATAGACTTTACTTCATGAAATTCTACCTGAGAGTTTTCTGTACATACTGAAGTCAGGCCTTTCTATTTTGCTGGTCCTTTCTGTTTTGCCTTTCTGTTTTGCTGTTGAGTTTCTCTCTTGGTTCAGCCACTGGTGGAACATCATCCTCTTGCTGCAGATGGCAGAGTCCTCCTGGGACAACATCTCTAACCCTGAGGTCTTGTCTCTCTGCCTACCTGAGCCTCCTTGAGGTCATTCTTGTCCATGTAGTTAGTGCCAGGCAGTCAGGAAGGTGGGCAAGCCACGGCAGCATTTCGGTGACACTTTGGATTTGTTTTTTGACAGCAGCGTCTTGCGAGAATCTCTTGGGGTCAGGGGCTGGTGCTACAGGCTGTTCTGTCCAACTTGAGCCCTGCGTCCTCCTTGCAGTGCAATAATAAATGAGATGTGGTCTGCAGACTAGACAAGCTGTAGCCTTCTTTTACCTCCCTAGGGCATAGTTCCCTGAGCAGTGTTTGTTCCTGGAAGACTACTCCCCAAAAGAAACCAAACAACGAGACTTGATTCACTGCATAGAAGAACCTTCTTCTTGCCCTCTTGCTTGCTTACCAGGTCTTGATGCTGCTTGGCCTACCTATGTGCAGCTCCCTGCTTGGATTTGTTAGAAATTGGGAAAATTACTCATCAGCTCTTAATATCCATGGGAAGGGTGGGACCACGTCGTTTCAATGCAGGAGGAGTGGAGACAGACCCACTTTGTGGATGGCTTCTAGAGGTCACTTAGGAGCTCTGGGAGCCTGCCCAGGGCAGAGTGTACGTACAGCTGAGTGCGTTTAAGGTAGTGCCTGGGGCAGGAAGCTGCTGAGCCCTCCCCTTACTCCATTGGCACAGGAAAAAAGGCCGTTTCCAGGTTTGTCTCTGAAGGCAGAGTGCTGGGGAAGGGGGCTGGCCACCAAGTTACCTGTGCATGGTAGCAGGAGAGAGGACAGCAACTGTGAGAAGACAGAAGTGCAGAAAACAGCTCGTAGGGGCTGCTTTGGGAGCCAGCTTGCAGCCCTGCAGCTGGTTTTACTGAGGCACTGACAGCACTGTGCTGTCAGGGCTTTGCTTGCAGGGTAGGTTTAAGCTGTTGTAATCCACCACTGCCAATAAGAGACTCTCCCGTTGCTTATTTTGTCCTTTTGTATTTCCTGCTACCCGCTTCCTTGAGCCATCTCTCATCCTACCTGATGGGAACAAGGTCAGGGGACCGATGCAGATTAGAAAGAACCAAGCCCCAAAACACAGTCATGGAGGGGGGCAGAGCCACCTTCAGCAGCACCAGTGTCACCCAGCTTCAGTTGCCAGTGTAAGTGCCAGGGTAAGATGTGCCCCTCCAGCCTCCCCCGAGCAGGCTATGTCCAACTGCGGTCTGTGCAGGCGCTGGGCTCAGCACTGTGGCATCTATAACGGCACAGTTCATAAGCCTTGTCATCACTAGGCAGGTCGGGAGCTGATGGTGACCTTTTTTTCTCTTGCCGAGAAGGGCAATTGGTGCCCTCAAGTGGTAGATAGCAGAAGGAAATGGACTTTGGCTGTGGAAGTCCAGGTCCTGAGCTCCTGGCTCGCAGCGTTGATTGCAGCCTTGGTGCCATTGCTAACTGTGCTCTCCTTTCCTTTCAGGGCAAGCTGGTGCCACAGACGGTGGTAGTGAGAAGATGTCACTCCAGATGGAGAGCGGGGTCCCGGTGGCATGTGCAACCGGACAGCTGTAAAAGTCCCTGGAGAAGCTCTGCTTCCTTTCGCTGACCTCCCTGAGGCGCTGCTTCCAGCATAAGAGAGCCTCGTACCTCAGCTCCGCTTTGCCAAGCAGCACAGCTAGCGGAGCCCATCACTAGATGGGGCCAGGGCTTGTTTTCAATTCTCATCCTGCCTCCAGCATGGTCCTGGGGGAAACAGAAGGCTGCCCAGAGCCCAGCAAGTGGGTTAGCGAGGGCTTGTGGAGCAGATGCTGGAAGTGGCTCTTCCCATGACAGGACATACAGGTGGCCACCATGCCCATCACCCAGGAGAACGCGGGGCTCTTCCTCCCCCTCTTGTGCCAGTGGCTGCAGAACAGCCTGCGGGAGGAGGTGGAGGGTCCTGAGCAGAGCCTGTGTCGTCCAGCCATCCAGAAGCTGACAGAGTACATCCAGCTGAACTTCTCTGTGGATGAGAGTAAATTGCAGCAAGGTGGTTCCAGTACTCTAGACATGGAGATCTGCACAGCTTACTTAGCCCAGGAGATGAGAAAAACTGAGGTTCTTGGTTTGAGCTTTGGAAACATCCCTGCTTTGGGAGACTATGGAGAGAAACGGCGGGGAGGAAAGAAGAGAAAGGGCCATAAAGGTCCAGTGCTTGATGTTGGATGTATCTGGGTGACAGACTTGAAGAAGAACAGCCCAGCGGGGAAGTGTGGGCAAGTGCGACTGAAAGATGAGGTCCTTTCTCTGAATGGCCAGTTGATGGTTGGCGTGGACGTCAGCGGGGCAACGTAAGTAGGAAGCAACAGTGGCTGATCAGTTGTATGTAGTAACCTATGGAATACGTTGTGGTTGATCCCAGTTTGTGGAAGCTGGAGTTTTGAGCTCTGCTTGGCCAGTCCCAAAGAGATTTGGGGATTCTTGCTTGTGGGCCTGTAGAAAATATGAAAGAAAATCAGTTAATAGGACTAGATTTGCTGCCTGTAAATTCACTGGAAAACTGTCAGAGTCATTGTTGAGATCAAAAAATACATCAGAAATAGCAGGGGGTGGTCACTAAAACAGGATTCTTTCTGGTGTTGGGTAAGACTTTTCTTCTAGTAAAATGAAGACAGGCTTAGCAGCATGGCAAGATTTTCTTATAGGTATATGTTATTTTTATTCAATCATTTCGGCTGAGGGGAGTTTTTCTGACAGCTAAATGGTGTCTGATGCTTTTTCAAAGCAAGACATTTTTGTGTTTTCCAGGTAGAAACAACTTCATGTTAACAAATTTGCTTTGATTTTTATTTCATTTTATTCTTGTTTTGCTGTCTCCTTCCCTAGAAAACCTGAAGCCTTTAAGAGTTCAAATCAGAAATGAATGTATCTGTAATGATGTAAATTATTCTCCTTTCTCCTCCATCCACCACTGCCATTTGTTACATACTGTAAAACTGGCTGCTGCCACAGCTTTGCTATTGTGGGCCAGGAAATTGTCTCACAATTCATTTTGCAAAAACAAAAACCTTTCTCTGATAAAGATGAGGATGCAAATGTTCATACTTGAGGTTGCAATGCTCTTGAGGCCATAAAATTCCCACCCTCTTGCTGAAGGGTGCAATTTAGGGATGGACAATTTTGGAAACAAAACACTAGTTGAATGGGCCTTTGTGGAAGAAAACTCCCAGTGGCTTGATCTGCAGCCTGCATAACCCAGCTATACCCTGTGGGTCTCGGGAGTAGTATTTTATTCCAACCGAGAAATAGCCCAGCAAGTGAAATCCCCAACAGGGACAAATAACAGATTTTAACTGCAATAAGTAGTATTTTCCCCTACTAAATACTGGAGGGGATAAGGGGAGCTAAATCTTTACTGAAGAAATTCGTAAGACTATAGCGCTGATAATGAAACTGATTGGTTGTTTGCTGCTCAAGTTGTCAGACTTGCAAAGCTCAGCGGCCTTGATCAAGGAGTAATGTGAGGTGACTGCAACAAGGCAGAGCGTGTGGCCTTTGCTGCCAGTAGACAACAAATATCCTCGTCCCTGAAGCCTGCATGGGACAGAGGTTTGGGGCAGCTGCTACTTCTGAGCCTGCTGCCTGACTTCTGGTTCTGTAGAGGTCACTTGGTGCATCCCTCTCCCCAAAATTGGCCTTGAGACTCTCTGTTTTGTGGGATCTTTGTCTCGGTGCTTCATTCTGACTGCTGGTTCTGCATGAGCTTTGAGCCTTGCTCGTGTTTGCACATTAACTTGCAAAATGGTCTTGATTAGACAATGAAGCAGCAGTAAATAGGGCAAGCAGTAAATAAAAGGAGTGGCTCTTAAATCTGTGGATGCTGGGAAAGGTCCTTGGTTTAAGCAAAAAAACAGCTTGCCTGGATCTGCTGGGTTCACCCCTCAAACATCCTGTCTGAACTCAGCTTTTGCATTGCAGATATGCTAACAGGCCTACTAATTCTTACCCATAGAGATACTACGAGTATAAACTCTCTGATCAATGGCACCCTGAAAGCTGAGATTTTTTTTTCTCAGAAAAAAAAATTAGTTTCTTAGACTTCTGTTTGTAGGAAGTTTCTGTCCTTAAAATCCAAGGGAATCTGTTGCAGAGGCTGGCAATAATGTTATGTTGTTAATGCACAAAGAAAGATAATGAATGGAGTACAAAACGTTTGGGTGTCTGTTCTTGCTATCCGATCCCTGAAGGCTTTGATTTTTTTTTTTTCCTTTCCAAAAGCTCTGCCAAGCTATGACTATTGCTAATGAGAATCAAGTGCTCCTTTTTCTTTAGTTCAGGTTTTTTTTGCCATCACGAAAGCAGAATTCCCACAACTTGGTGGTATGGAGCCAATACTCTTGTTCTTAAGATGCCAATTTAGAATGTTCTGTGTCCTAAATTTGGGCCTAAATTGGACATCTCTTAGTCAGAACCTGATGTTATTTTCAGCCTCCAAAGCTTCTTTATCTAGCTTACTGTCAACTACTATTTGACAAGAGTGATGTTGATATATGACAGTTTGGGATCTTGAAGGACTTCTCAGTTTGGAGAACTTGGTTTCAGTTCTCAGAGGTCTGGCTGGTAGCTCCAACACGTCCCATCCTGCATGTCTATTTGGGTCCAGGAGTCTTTGCGCGTCCTTCTAGTTTCTCTGTTGGCTCTGTCAAAACAGAGATAATTCTGCCATATCTTTATAATCAGTTGAAACACGGTGCCAGTTTGCATTTCGGGCAACTGTTTCAAAAGATCACCTTTTCTAAAGTATTTCTGTATTACTGCTACAATAGCAGAGCCCTTTCTCTGTGGTTCTTTGAGGTGTCGGAGCAGGACAGCACTGAATGCAGATACAACCAGCACTGAGCAATATTTCCGTGTGCTGGACTGCACAATTATTCTTTGGCTGTGCATGAAACAGTTCTAGGTGGATGCGAAGGGGTTTTAGTGCTGTGACTTCTGCATGATGGAGCTGTGCTGTAATTAGTGAAGTTAAAATGCTGTCTGTAGTGCCTGTTGGCATCAGGTTGGAGTGGGCAAGCAGAAGCACAGATTTCATGCTCATTCCTCATGCACCAGGTACATCAGGACAACCCCATCCTGCCCAGTAAGTGTGTTGTAGCCTGTGCTGGAGCTTTAGGGTATCTCTTGGTCTAGTTCCCTAACAGTGGAGAATGTGGCATGCGCTTCAGGACACTGGGCACTGAGCAGAGGGTCTCATGATTCCTCTTCTCTGCAGGACGTTTCCACCCTTGTAGCAGGATCGGCAGAAATGTGAACTCGTGTCCAGTCTCAGGTGGTCACCTCACGGCCCAGTGGAGCTCCATGCCACCATTCAAGCCCCCCTGGACAAGCGAGTGGCTGAGGAATGGGATGCATTCCCTTCCCTGACTGTGGAATCTGGGAGTCTATAGAGGATGAGGGCAGATGGCTGGACCAGGAACAGGTTGGGTTTACCTGGACGTATTGGCTTAAAAAGCCTCAAAGCCAATCATAGGTCAATCAACTTTAAAAATAAATTATCCTACTATCCTCTTATTTCCCTGCTTTTCATAATCAGTGATTGGATTTGCACCTCAGCCTCTCTTCTCCTGCCTCCGTGCAGGAACAGCACGAATTGTTCTCTGCGAGTTGTCCTCCTGGCATCTGATTTTGGCAGATACGGTGCCTAACCATCCTCAGCTCTCAAAGAGGTAACGGGGTCAGTGATGGAGCTGAAGAGAAGCACGAGTCTTCTGGGGAGAGCAGGCTGCTGGTATCACTGGCTGTCATTCCCTCTTAGGGAAACTGATTTTTCCTTTTTTAAAAAATAAATTTTATTTAAATGCCCGCTGATTGCCATGTGTACAGCAGAAGCAGGTTAATTATTGCAGATCTTGTTTCTTTTTCCTTTCTTTTCACTTAGAGAAAGATTATGCATTAATATAATCATCAAAGCTCTTTGCTTAACGGCATATTATTACATTAACGTAATGATGTAGGTGGTGGTATTTTTAGTGATGTTAGTGACTGAAGGAAAATTATTGCTCTCTTCAGAGGTAGCAAATTGTTCACGTCTATCAAATACAATTGCAGTAAAATGAGCTGTATTGGAGTACAGAATAAAGGTTAGTCAAAACTCTGCATATTTATTTATGTTCTGTCTATAAAACTGCTCTTCAAAAACACATGAATTATTTTCTCCCTGACAACAACTTCCTATGTATTTTGGAACTACTACTTTCATTTTGGGCAATTACTCACTTTCTTGAGGGAGGCTGTTAGGATTCTTGCAGGTGACAGATGAATCCTTCATTTCTTGAGCATGACTGAGTGGGACTCCTATGAGAAAGTCCTGGGAGGATTGCTAAAGAATTATTTTGTCAAGAATTTTGTCCAATTTGAAACGCTTGCTTATCAATTGTATCAAATATAGCTGTAATGCTTGGATACAGCTACCATATACATCTAATCTTTAATATCAGTGCTGCATAGATTTTCAAATTCAAGCTGCTTTGAAGAAAGCTGAGTGTTATACATTCCAAGTAGTGACAGTGTGGTATAAACACGAGATGTTGTTATAATATTGTCATTGAAGAAACTCGACTATTGCTTCAAAATATCATGTTTTTCTTTCCAAAAATGTCCAAACATCGCAATATGTGGAAATATAGTCAAAGAACTTTAGCCCACAACCTGGAGTAGCTTCCAAAAAGTGAACAGAGAGCTGTTCTGCCAGCTGTGCCTTTGCAGGGCCTCTTCTTCATCCCACCTCTTCAGCCAGTGTCCGTGGGGAGCTCCTGGGACTGCCCCCCAGCACCAGATGTGCCAAGCAGAATGACAGGAAAATCGGCTCATTTCCAAAGAGACTGAGAAAGATGTTCAGGAAAGCAGACTTGCAATGGGCAGTGAGCTTTAGGAGCAACTACTAAAAGTGAGGGTTTGACCTTGCCTGAAGTTAGTGTTTCCAGCACTACTGAAATCATGGTCTGCCTAACAAGTCAGCACTCCTCCAAAAGAACTACGTGTGAGATTCTTCTCATGATATACACATGTCCTAAATACAGCTCTAGCTCCAAGGGAGAGCATGACAGAGGGTGACACTTGAACTCCAAAAACACAAAACATTTTGTGCTGCTTATCTAAACCCTTCTGGGTGTACACTGAAAAGTTTCTACTTGTGCTAAGGATACGCTGTGCAGTCCCGCACTGTGTTTGGAGTCCAGTTCTGCTCTCAGAGGTCTCTCTCTCTTCAGAGGTCTTCCAGAGGTTGCTGTCCTTTCTGCCCCTGTGCTGAGATCTCCATGTGCAGGGGGAGTATAGGGTGGGATATCTGCAG